CGTTCCTGCTGAAGTTGTGCGGTATTCTGTAGGCAGCCTGAACTAAAACCAGGGAAGGGTACTGGAGGAGGAAGATTTAATTTGCAAAGTAGGAAAGATAGGATGGTACTGAGAGATGACATTAAAGTGCTGTATTTGGTAAGGAGTATGAAAAAGTCATTTCTTGTAAGTCAATGTTATGCACAATTTTTATTTATTTTTGTGGTGCTTTTGCAGTGTTTCTTATCAGATGTCAATCCATTCAAAACTGTCATTACTACCTTAGTAAAATACAGAAGCATTGCAACTTTACCTTAGAAAAATATAGCAACTTACAATATGGACCTTGTGTTTCTAGGAAATGTGGTTTTGTATGAAATTACAGGTAACTGGGTGTCTTATGTACAAAAATAGAAATGGTTTGCCTTACATTTTCTGATGCCCTTTTCACATTTAGATACCAGAACACAAAATTTATTTTAAAATGCAAGTGCTTTCATTAATAAAATTTCTTTTAACTTCTCCCTCTCCTGTAGTGTCACATATGCGTATAATCCTTGCATCAGGAAATGATTCTGTAACAACAGATAGCCCTGTTCTTCGTAGTCATGGGTTGTAAACTAGAATATATAGTAACTGAACTGAGTAGTCGTTAAACTGAGAAGACTTAGACGTATGTTGTCAGGACAGATGACTCTGCCAAGTTTTTAAACTTAAATTGCAAGGTGTGAGTAGTTGTCAAGACAAATCCTGGCAGCTCTACTGGTCCTTTTCTTGCGTGGAGTATTTCTTTCAACCACATCCGTTTTGTGGGGGAAACACATCTGTTTTTCTTTCTTTATGCTTATCCTTGGTAGTTCTCTTACTTTCTGTTCTTTTTATGTTTGTTTCCACTGACCTTCAATATGAAGACTTAAATTTATGTTTTCAAATATGCCCTTTTAAAGAAATAGCGCCTGCTAGATACTGCAGGTGAACTCTTCATTGGCATGTCAGTTACCAAACGTATTTGCTTTGTAAATCCAGAATTCTTGCTCTGATGTACAGGGCATCTGGAACAATCCATGGCAAGAAACCGTTTTGTTTCTAGTTGTAAACCATGTTGAACAGCGCTTAGTTTTTTGGTTTTTTTTCCTTAGCCCTATCATTCAAGCTTTAACTGAAATGCAAAGTTACTAGCCTTATGGCTGCATGACTAGCCACTTTTCTGTATTGGGGCTTTATGGTGGTATCCATAGTGGTATTTGTATTTCTGTACAGGGCTTTATAGTAAGGCAGGTCTTACCCGAGTGCCTGCTGTGAAACGTCCAGAGCTGTAGTGAAACCTTTAATATGTTTGATCAAGTTTGGTTAGGCTTGGTGGTTCTCCCTTTCCAGACGGCTTGGAGTACAGCATGTTGCTTGGGTAGCTTTTTATGTTGTTTCATGAAATTTATGGACAGAAGACATCACTGGATCATTTAGTGTAATGTGTTTATTTCAGACCCTTACAGGCAAAAGTCGGTGAAAAAAACTGATTCTTATGACTTGTCTTGTTTGACTTGTACCAGTGATGTGCTTTAGCTTTTAGCATCTTGTTATGCAAGGTACAGTATTGATCAGAAAACCTTGAGATGCCTGCCATTCTTCCTGGTTTGTTCAGGCAATTAGTTTTACTGTTGTATAGTTATATCCTAATTTGAGTATGGATCTCTATAGCTTTAGCTTTCAGTTGTTCATTATTAGCATTTTTCTGTGCTTAAAAAAAGTTTTATTTATCTGTGGGTCTTCTTCATATAAAGCATTTCTTTAGCCCTTAACTTTTGTGGATTTTCTGTACCCTAGTTTTGCAATGTAGCTGAAAGTATTGGACCCTGGGTTTGTATATAGCGTTTTAACATTTGTCATCTTCTGATTATAAAAATCACGTTTCTTCTGTTATTACTGTTCTGTTTACAGAATTACAGATTACTTTAGTTCACTTTGCTCTAATAGCTTCAGATAGTTTCAGATCACTGGTCCACTGTAACTGCAAGCTCTTACGTCAAAGGTTCGTTGCACACAGTCCTTCATAAGTGCAGACATGGCATACGGTCCTTGACTGTAATTCTCAAAAATGCGTTTGATTTGATTGGTCCCAGACCAGCCAGTCCATGTTCCTACTTCTTCCTGTACTCTCCTCTTCACTGTGAACCATTTTGACCAAATTTATGTAATCTAGCACTATACTGAAGGTGATTTTACATTTACTTCCAAATAATTGACAAATATTTTGGATAATTGTGTTTAGTATTAATCCCTGCCGAAATGCAGTGTTCATGTGCCTGCCCAGTAATGATTTGCTGACAGGCAGGTTCAGAGGAAATTAATTCATATAATGTATGCTTTTTTTGGTCGGCGTGGGTGTGAATGTTCTGATCACTTAATTGTTACCTATGAAGCCTAATTATGGGAAGCTAAGTATCATCCGTTTCACTGATTGTTTTGGCAGGCCTGCTGAAAGGATTTTGAACTTGCAAGCTTGTGTGCTTTATCCAGTTGTTTCAACTAGGCTATATGATGCCTCTCCCTATGAAGCTTGCTTCAGATCTTATGGAAAATATTCCACTAATGTGCAGTGTTATGAGGCTCATCTGAAAGAGTCATGTGTGTTTCATTATTTGTTTGTTGGAAGGCAAATTAGCTTTGATATATTGGAGGTTTATTTCTATCGCTTTCATGTTATGGGAATGAGGTATTTTGGGGGAATTGGTTGTTTTGGGGAGGGTAGATACTCAGAGAAAAGGATGAAAGACATCAAAACCTACAGCTTTTGAGAAGTTTTTTTGTAGTTGAGGATACATTAGTCACTGAGCATGTTTTTAGCCAGTTTGCTGAAAAATGAACCAGCTTCTAGGTCTCAGTACAGCAGATGTGTATATCTGTCTCTGACTCATGATGCAAGCATATAATCCCATTGCCTTTATTATGAGTACAGAAATGTATATTTTTTTAAATGTATGAGTGTTTTCCCTGTATTTGCGTTGATGCTGAGTGTAGTTTGCTCCCTTTTTTTAATAGACAGTCAAAACCTTAGTAAAATTTTTTTCCAGACTTTTAGGTCTATTGTGTTCTGACTGCGTTGATGTACATGCAAGTGACTTTGTCATGTTTTAAACAAATGTTAATACTGTAAATGTGTTGGTTGTCTTTCATAATTACATAGGTAAGTGAACGATGTTGAAAGAAAAGGAGATCTCAGTGCAGTGTCTTAGTGACTTGCCAGAAAGGTGTTTCCTGTCTCCCTCTGTGTGTGGTCACATTTCTTGCTTATTGGCCCATGAGATACCAGTCAGTGTATCCCTTTTCTTTCTGTGTTTTTCGAGACATCACTGTCTTTTTTTGACTATATTTGCTGTGAATTCTGTGGATTCTTGTTCATGCTTAAAGCTTAGAAGCCTTTTAGAGAGAGGGAACTCCAGCTTGATGTGTCATACTTTCTTTGCAGAAGTTCAGTGCTTGTTTTTATTCTGTTTCTTTCTATAAACTGGTTACTTTTTCTTTGAAAAGTTCTCTGAATACGTCAACTAGCAGGTAAAATCAGTGTCTAGTTTTCTGAAAACTCAAAATACAGGCCTCTGATATTTATTATGGAAAAAGCACCACTGTTTTATTACATGGTACTTGATCCAAAATGCTAGCTGATTCTTTATCTTCTAAAAATGACAGCTGATACATCTTAAAGCAAATAACCATTAGCCAGATACTATTAATTCTGCCACTGATAAAATTGATGTAGTAACAAGGTGGAAGGACTAACGAGGAAGGTCAAAGTATCTGATTATGTGCAAGTAATTAATCAAACTTCAAAACCCGGATCATGGCACCATAAACTGGTAAAATGTATAGCCAGTACTCGAATAGTGTTGGAGGCCTTTAGAAACCTAAAGTACTGTACTTTTAAGAGAGTTAGCTAATTGTTATCTGTGAAAGGCTAGGCATGCCAGTGATGGATATGTTTATATGCTGCTCAAACATAGGGGACAAATTATATCTGTCTTTTCACCTCATAAGTTACTAAAAACACAATCAAATTTCATCTTTTGATAAAGAACTTGATAGTTCTGAAGGTGAAAAATACTAATAGAAAATTAGTATCCTTGAAGTATGAACTCAGCAAATGATAAAACAAAATTTCTTTTGCTACAGAGGACTAGAACTCTCTAAAAGTCATTGATCAGTGTTTTTACATGATTTGTTTTTACATTGGAGTGGTAGATATCAAACAGTTTCCATAGTGCTTACAATCTTGGGTTATCCATGTACTTTCTGCTGTTGCCTCTTTTATTTAGTCTATTTAATAAACTAGAAAAGTCACTAGACTTAATTTGGTAATTGAAATACATAATGTTCCCAGAAAATAGTAGTGAGAATAAGCTGTTCATTTACCCCATTGACCTTGAAGTCAGGCTCTGGTTTCACCAAGACTGTTTCTTTCCACTGTTTTTAGTTGTATGAGCACCAGTAATTCTGGCCATAGTTAAGGTCCGCTCGATGTTGGTGCCAACATAGGGCGTGTGGTCTGATTGGGTCTCTAGTGGACAGCGAGTAGGCTGTCACAAAACTGGGAGGAACCTCTGAAATCTTTTTCTGCATGTTTTTCCTGCCTTTCGGTTAGTTTTATATGCAACAATATTAGAACAATATTTGAGACTGGAGGAGAAAAATGCATTTTAAAAGTCTGTTCTGTTATAGTGGATGGTCACATAGTCTAAACCCAGCACCGCTAGAAGATGACACGAAGTATTAAGGGAACGCTTGTGTTCCAAAACTCTGAATCACAGCTGCAGTTTTCGTTACTGTCAGCACTATCAGACACGTCCTTGCTTTAGGTGGTGGCAGTGGCCGCAGCATCAGCTTCCTGGCTGGCACTCAAGCCTTAGCAGATGCCTAGACAGCCGATCCTTATTCTCTTCAGGGGAAAGCACCAGGTCAGGTTGGAAGTGTCTTTTGGGCTGCCAGTTGAATTGCTGGTAATCACAAACATGAAAGAGGGAGGTTTTCTTCCTAGGTATCTGCTGTGGGCTTCAGTTGTTTGGGTGAAATAGTTTCTGTGATCTGTTTTGCTTTCTCCATCTTCATCTGAAAGAACAGTGCTTGGCTGCCTAAAGTTGAGGCTTCATAGTATACATCATTACCTCTGAACATAACTTCTGAACTTCTCCTATCTAAAATCCTTTCTGATGTTACCATGAAACCACTTTTATGTGCTTTCCTATTCTACAAAGTGGCTTTTGAAAATTCTGAGGTGAAACTGTTCTCAATGGGTTATTGGGAGCCCTGTGTCAAAGGTGCTGGGACTTCAATTCTGTTTATTTTAATTCAAGATGACAGCCATTGTGATATGTGAGGGATATGCTGAATTCCTTCATGTTTTTGTATATGCATGGGAGACTGTAAAGACGAGGTTTTCTTAATTCTGGTTGAGTGCTTGTTTGAGGTTATACAGCCATCTTCTTTAGGTGGGATTTGTCATTCCTCTGATAGCCAGCAAACAGGGTGTGTTATGTATGTTAGGTCTTCCTCTGTCCCTTAACTGCCTGAAAAAAAGCCTAGATACTGTCTTTGATACCTCATTTTAAAGTGGGATGTAGCGTCTTCTGGAAATACTGTTACAGAATTACTTCCAAAACTACAGAAAGAGTCTAGATGACCAATTTGCATGCTAGGCGCTTCATTTTTAAGTTTTAGTTAGATGCATTCAGGCTTTAACTATTTGTGTATTTTGAGAGGGAAAATTTTAGCTTATGGGGTGCAAGATACAGGAAAATCTGCCTGTCTTTGGGTGTCTCCACTGTTAAGTAAATGAACACACGCAGTGTGCTTGATTCTTTTGCAGGATTGAAATACAATAGTGGAATTGGTCACTTCAGGTAACTTCCTAGAATATTTTTTTCTAGTATATGTGTTTGCAGTAAATAGCTGGTGAAGCTGTTGTAACTCTGACTCCAGAAGCTATTTCATAGGCAACTTTGGAGGAAAATGAGATAGTGGTTAATACATGTGATTTGATGATAAAAATTACCTTTGAAATAGACAAAAAGAATTTTGCAGCAGTATTGTCTGTAATAATATCTGAACAATAGGAGAAATTCTGGTTAACACTTACGGGCTTTCTTTTAGTTTTGTTTTTTGGGGAGTATATGTCATTTCATTATATTTACTATGCATACCTATAGAATGATGCTTTAAAAATTCTAAATACAATTTTTTTTACTGAAGATTTCATTTACTGAGAGTAATTTGACAATTACAAGTAAAGTTAGAGATTTTTCACAAAAATAGGCCTCTGAACAATGTACACTTAAAAGTGTAAAAGGTCATTAGTCATTCTGTTAACTTTCAAGATCTGTATGAATTTCCTGTTCTTTTTGGATTTCTAAAAGTTCTCTCTCCATTTATTTTCTTAAATATTTAGTTCCTAGAAGTTTTTCAAGTCCGTGGAGTCTATTCACTGTGCTATTCCTGCACATATACTGTTAGGAGAAGGAATTCTATGTCAGAGTCTGCAGGGTGCCAGTCCTTCTGTCCTCTTTAGGAATCTTTTTTAAGAAGGTTTTAATGAAAACCAGACATTTCTACTCTGATGCTCACAAAGTATTAGGGCATGTTTGCAAAAGCAGATAAACTGATCTAATGGCCCACCGCTGCTGGGAAGTGTGCTGCTTCTTTTCCTTGACCACCACCTTTAAACCACTTGGATTTTTCCTTTTGGTTTAAGTGTAAAGGAGTAATTTTCTACTAGATTAGTGAACTGAATCAGTTTCCTAAGGATTAGATGACTGTCGAGGCACAAATAGAAGAGAGGGGAGCACATAAGCACACAGTGGAGAGTGGAAAGGTGGAGGCAGAGTAGAACTTTCCTCTTTTGGCTGCAGCCAGCTGTTAGATCATCTCTTTCAGTTTAGTAGTGTCCTGAGGAGCATCCAGTTATTGTGAACACAACATTCAAACAATGAGGGAAAAACAAGAGTCCCACTTGGCATACCTGAGGTTTCTGGATGCCTGTTGAATGTTCAGCCTTCTTTTTCTGATCCTCATCCTCTTGCCTTTCCTAAAATTCTGGCAATTTTCAGTCAATCTTAAATCCTTCTTTTGTGATAATTTTATACAGTGGATATGTGTTCAGTTGCTGGGGTTTAGGTGGTGGTTGTCCCTCCTTCCTGTCTCCTAAGTTTGCTGCTCACATTTACTACTGTTTGAAGGACAGAGAGAGCAAAAAAACAGTGATCAGTTTGAGAAACGAGGTCCAACATTTAAATCTTCCTAAATGTGTAAGTGCTAGAACAGAGCTATTTGTAGTTACAGAAATCTGAGAAGGGAGAAGCTATCTATTGACTCAGAAGCTTTTACTCAGCACAGCTGACCATGAAGTAATACAAAATTGTCTTAAACTTGCCTTTCTACCTTTGCCAGTTTCTTTGAAGCCAGCTGGACTTTCGAAATCTTTTCATAGCTCCCTATACTTTTGCCTGTACTAATGTTAATTGCCAGGTGGTGTAGCAGTAACAAGAGCTAACTGTGATTTTGAGGGGCTCCTTATTTGGCACTTTAAGGCATAGTTCACACAGAAGAGGGGCCAAGTGGGTGCGTTGCTATTTACTTTTCATAAAAATAAAATTATTATGCAAAACTGTGAATTCTCTTTTTGACAAAGAAATTGCAGCCCCCTTCCTCAGTGGAAATTTTAATATGGCATTAAGAGTTGAGGAGCTAAGCCTCCTCCTGGGTTACACTTCTCTGCAGTGCTAGTACCATTACTTTTTCTTCTTTTTTTACCTTTGTGTAGAGGAGAAGAAGCCTAAAGTCAAGAAACCAAAATCAGAATTCCCTGTATACACGGTTCTGGAGTCAAGTGCATATATACCATCGTATGACCACGGAGCTTCAATTGAAGAGATTGAGGAACAGATGGATGATTGGTTGGGAGGCAGGAACAGAACACAAAAAAAGAAGGTAAGTTCAAAATCTTTCACATTATGTATTTTAAGTGGTGATTCATTTGCTTGCCTCTTAAGAAAATGGAATTTTGTATGTATACCACCACAATATTCGTATGCCATTGAAGTCTAGAGAAGTATTAATTGTCAAGCAGAGACATAATGGAAAAGATTGTATCAATGTTCAGTGTAATTTGTGTAATGATACTGGAAATGTTGTTATAATAGGATGTTGTTGATTAAAATGTATGAAAGCTCTCTGTGGTTTCTAATATAAATACTATTCCTATTCACTAGAAATTAGTAGAACATAATGCTGTCAAGTTACATGAGGCTTGGTTCTTTCTCTTAATTGCACTTAGTAACATTTGGCTTCCAAGAATAGATTTTGTATATTAAAAAAAAAAAAAAAAAGCAAAGGAAAAAGAAAGAAGAAACCTTTGCTGCTTAATATCCAGGTGTAATATCTTTCGGTTATAGAACTGCTTATGTACTTTGTGCATTTCATCTAACTTATGGAAAAGTCTTAACAATTTGACTTAGGCCCATTGTCAAGGTTATTTCTACTTAGAGATAAGGGTTCTTAGTGGCAGTTAGTGTAATTATCTTCTGGTAAATTTTATTAAAATATTTTGGCTTGAAAATGTATAGTTTTCATCTTAGAACTGAGCTACCCAGGTGACAGAAAAAATGTTATAAATTGGTCTCCTGACTTGAAAATTTGCCTTGCTTGGAAGACTGAGATGAGAAGAACAGTGTGTTTGGAGTGGAGTCAGGGTAACACATTGACTTCAGCATCAAAATAGTGAAAGAAGTTCCTGCTGTCGTTTGTTTGACTGCTCTGTGCTGCAGATTTGCTTACTCCTTAGTTGTTTTCAGGCCTGTGAAAAATACTCCCTTCCATTTTTAACCAGACCTAAATTTTTTACTAAAATAATTTGAATTTTGCATAACCGATTTAATCTTCTAACACTGTTGGATTTCTGAGCTTCACAACTTCCCAGCTGTCAATTTTCTCTTGCTGTTACTTTTGTCTTTCGGTTTAATTTAGTACCTCAGCATTTGTTTACTTTTATATTTCTGTAACAAATCCATTCTGCAAATATCGTTAGCTTTTGACTTCTGTATAAGGGATTGACACTCTGAATCCTTACACACTTAGAGAAAGTAAGAACTCGGGTCCTTAATTCTGTACATGAGTTGCCTGGGAGTTAAGAGCATATGTACAGTCATTGCTTTGTTTTCCTCAACTCAAGAAGTGCCCATGGATTGGATTCCTGTTAGTTGCATCTCTGTGAACCAGCTTTGCTTACCAGGCTGTGTGGGCAAATGATTAAAGGAGAAAAGATGTATGTTTGTTTACAGTAGCTTGGGTTGATTGCATGCTTGACTATCTGGACCCGCATTCACTCTGATGGAAATTGGGTCTTTCCTTGTATTTCCATGAAAATGAAGGAATTGAATAAGAGTGGGTCTATTCTATCTATAATTTCACACCTCCTACAAAGAGTATATAGAAGTTGAGTCTTCAAAGACACTGCTGAGAGAACAGATTGTAGGTACATCCTTTCAGAAACAAGAGTCACAGAAATTAAAACATCGAAGAACTGTTATTAAAAGGTAAGTAACTTGGTTTTATATGCTTACACCTGGAGGTTCAGCATTGCATGTCATCACTTTGATTAATCAGAGTGTATTTTTTGAATTACATTCTGTTACAAATGGGGTTAACTTTTTAGGGACAAGCAGGCAATTTGCAGGTATACTGTCTGGGTAGAGTGTTTGGCCTGAACAAACTGTGGTGAGGTGTGCTTCCTTTCCTTGACAGCTAATATGTTACCACAGTGCAAAATTGGCACTGAATACAGTAGTGGAGAGAAGCAGATTCATAAGCTGTACAAAGAAATGGAGAATATATGTTACTGGCTCTAGCAGCTTGTAGGAGCCACTTGTATGTCAACATGAGAATGGCTGTGTCATATGATTTGTAGTGAGGTCACTGGGGAAACGGTTGTACCACAAGTGAATTGTTCCTAACTGTCATTCGACACATTTTGCTGTTTTAGAAAGATGTATTTTCCTCCACTACACATCACAGATGTGAACTGGGACAGCATCCTCCTTCTGCCTCTCTCTTCTGCTTCTTGCATGGACGTGCGATGAAGTGATGTGTAATGTTCACCTCTCAGTTCTGCTTGTCTTAAGAAAAAGTTACTCTTTCTAAATGATTTTGCCCTCAGACTTTTTCTTGAAATAGTCATGCTTCACTCGTGAGAAAGCTTGTTCGCTTTTTTCTGTTCTTTCATGATAGTTCAGGGTTGTGGACTACATACAGCCAACCAGGCTTGAGAGCAGTTATCCGTGTAGTAAGATCCAAAGGACCTTGATAAAGTAATATGTTACTATGTCATCTGTGGAGTTGATGTCCCTGTTGTTGGTATCCCAAGCGTAGATGATTACAACTCATTTAATATTGTTCACTAACTGCTTTGCACTGTTGACATTTGTACTTTAGGAGGTGCCTGTAATCCATGGACTAGTGTTTTGGAAGTGCTGTACCATGCAGAGTGCCCAGTTTGATAAAAATGTAGGTTATGTCCAGTTGTTAGATTGAAGTCAGTCCCTGTGATTTTTTTTTTTTGTTTTTTAAATACATGATCCTATTTGATTGTTTAAGTTTCTTTCATTTTTGGGGAGTTTTTTGGAAGCTGGTTTAATGGCTCATGGTCTACAGTCCTCTAAGCTGTTTCCTAATGATTCTTTCAGTTTGGAAGAGTACATTTGCACTCTTTGGAAGAGTGAATTTGGAAGTCTAGGGTTAGGAATTTAGATACATCAAAGCTGTATGAAAGAAAAATTCATATTGTTCCATCTGCAACAGGAATCTGAATATTTCTCTGACAGATATTAATCTAGGAAGTAATGTTGTCATAGACTAAATAGCTCCGTAAAGTAGATTTACCAACATGGAGAAGATAATGGCTTTCAGAAGTATTTGACTTGCCATGGTTTCATTAAGCTTACATACATTTTATTTGTAGAGCAAGAGCATGGCTTTGGCCGTGCAGGAAAATAAAATGACAATTTTCTTTGTAAAATAAATATTATTAATCATTGACAATAACTGGAGTTCTGTATTTGTAAAGAAACAAGGATATTTGTGTTAAGGGTTTGGTGGTTTTGAAATTGGTGGTTTCAGAGTCCAGTGTCCTGGGCTTCGGGAAAAAAAAAAAAATCACTTTTGGTAGCCTAGAAAAAGACATAAGTTGTTGCTGATCTTTTCAGTATGTCTGATAAGTCAAGGGGTGTAGGAATAAAATGGAACTAGTCAAAAGTGAAGCTGTTGGATATTGTAACTGAATAGAAGAAAAAGATAAATATTGATGTAAAGAAATAGAATCATAGAATCATTAAGGTTGGAAAAGACCTTTAAGATCAAGTCCAACTGTCAACCTGTCACCACCACGCCTGCTAAACCATGTCCTGAAGTGCCACATCTACACATTTTTTAAACACCTCCAGGGATGGTGACTCCACCACTTTCCTGGGCAGCCTGTTCCAATGCCTGACCGCTCTTTCGGTAAAGAAATTTTCCTTAATATCCAGTCTAACCCCACCCTGGTGCAACTTGAGGCCATGGTCAAGAGGGGAATTGGGTAGAGAGGCTGGAATTAAGATTAATCATGATCTGGGAATAGCTTTGGAATAAAACTAACTATTTCCTTCAGTGTTTGTTGAAGATGATATTGAAAGTAAAGGCTAATGAAAATTGCTTGGAAATTATAATTATCATCTCCAATGGCGAGGTAAAGTTTTGACCTCAAATTCAGAAGACTTTGTAGGCTAGTCCTTACCTCAGAATTCATTTAAAGTATCATCCTTATGGAAGAGCAGACATAGTCCATTTTAAGAAGGAAAAAAATATAGGCCACTGTCACCTTACTAAGTGACCTGTCTGTTCAAAATGAAATAGCAGCAATGTAAAAGTACATGGAAGATAATATAAAATGCAGTTTGGAGTACCAGTGTGTGTTTTGGATTGGTCTACTAATTTTTATTGATAGTTGCTTAGAAACATTTGGGGTTTTCTGTCTGTTGTCTGAATATGATATGGAAGCTATTAATGTACTGTGGATTACTGTTTCCACAGGGTTTAAGTACTGAAGTAGATAAGGAACAGGCTATAGAGAAGAGAACAGCTTCGTTCTTAGGCAAGGTAAAATGATCTACCAAAGGATGTAGAAAGAGGAGTGTTTTCTGGTTTTGTTTGTGGTTTGTTTTTTTCCGTAAGGTTACAAAGCTGGCTGAAAACGTGCTTATAACATAGGAAAATTATTCTTCTGTCTTAGTTTAAGAACACACTAAGTTTATGTCCATAAGGGGCTTGTCTTGCCATGTTGTTACTCTCTACTTGGAACTTAAAAGAAAGCTATTGGAAGATATTAAAATAATATTCAGTATTAGAGAATGGAGAGGTAATTTTTCTGTATTTCTTAGCAGCTGTGATCCATCCACCTTTAGAGCCTTTTGTATAGGTTTGATTTTTGCACTTTTCAGAAAGAAAGAAAAATTAACAGGAAGACTAGATCAGCAATAAAAAGAAACTTAGAAAATCATGTTTATGAGGAAAGGTGAAGTTGATGGAGTTTCAGTCCAGAAGAGAGAAGCTGTTGGAGAATAACTGGATGCATCGTTTTTCCAGTCCATTCCGGGCTGCTTTAGGTAAAATGATAATCGTTTATCATTACTTACTACCCTTCATAAATTTGGAGAGAAAGAAATATTGAATTTAATTTACAGCCGAGATGTTCAAATTCAGATTTGGGAACACAGGTAGGGGGGGAGATGCATAACTGGAGCATGTTACCTAGACCATTTATGAAACCTTTCTTTGACCAGTTATCCTGTTCTTAGTGTGAAGAGACTCAATTGCATTTGAGAGCATGAAAATGAAGTAATGAGACTCTCAACGATTTTTTTTCTATATAGGAAGTCATATACTTACCTAGCACTAAA